GGACACGTGGAGCAGGCTCTTGGACATGTGGAGCAGGCTCTTGGACAAGTGGAGCAGGTTCTTGGACACGTGGAGCTCGCTCGCCTTGTTTTCCCTGCTGGGCGTCCTGAAGCTGAACCTTCAGTTGCTCCACCTGTGCAGCCAGCAGCTTCTTCTCTCGCTCGTTGTCCCACAGCAGCGAGGCCAGCCTGTAGCGGGGCAGGCGGTCCATCGGGGTCAGGTCTGGGTTCATCTCCACCAGGTCTGAGGAGCACTTTCTGGCAAAAATGTCTGAAATGTTTGTTTTGTCTCCACGGAAACTGCAGCGAAGAGCAGAACTGTGCAAAACGTGCATTCTCCCACGCTTCAAACAATAATACCACTCCCTTACAGTGTTTTATAAACAAACAAACAAACAAACAAACCTAAACCTTCTCATAAACACCGGAAGCGGCTGTGGGAGTTGCGTTATTTAGGAAGGGAGTCAAATAAAAATAGAAACAAGTCTAAAAACGTGGAAGTAAAACAGAAAAAGTCTTCCTAAACTCAGGTGCTGTGATTTTTATGTTTCCATGACAACAGTTGTTATGTTGTGCAATGACTTTAAAACATTTAGTCCAATTTATTACCTCAGAAAATAATAATCTGCTTTTTAGGGACGGCTGTGGCTCAGTGGTCAGAGCAGTCGTCCTTTAATTTAGAGAGTCAGAGGTTCGATTCCACCAGTATGCAGTCACATTGTGTGTTTGTGTGTTTGATCATAACTTAACAAAAAAAGCAAATCTGTAAAATCTAACTGCTTGGATTAAGGCGACACTGAAACGCTCAGATGGTTCAGACATTTCTCTCAGCGGCCCTCAATCCTGGCCCTCCAGGGCCACCGTCCTGCATGTTTTACTGGTTTCCCTGCTCTTCAGCGGGTCTTCAAGCTCTGCAGCGGACCGTTAGTCACTCATTCATTCACGGCAGGTGTGCTGAAACGTGCAGGATGGTGGTCCTGGAGGACCAGGACTGAGGAGCCTTCTATCAATCAATCAATCAATCAATCAATATATCATTATTTTCAATAACATTCCATCAGATGGAGATTTATCTTTGACATCTGGCTCATACATATAAAACAGCACAAGTTAAAAATGCCATAAAACTTTAAAAAGCTTTGCTAACCCATTAAACCCAGTTCTAAAAAACATTAAAACATCTCAGCAGACAACGGTTCATGTGAGGCTGTGTTTAAACAGAACCCTGTTCAGGACACTCGCAGCAGAGGGACCTAATGACTTTTTGTACCCATGTTTCTTTACCAGAGGAACCAGCAGTCTTCTGCCAAATGGTACCAGCCTGAATAATGGTTGCAGTGGATGAGTTGGGTCATTGTAAACCTGGATTGACTTTTCTCGAGCCTGACTGTGCAGGTCTTGCATTTGTTGATGACCAATTATTTGGGACCACTTGTTCCCGTCTCTGGCTAGGAGGTTCCCATACCATGAGACAGTATTAAAGGAAACAACACTTTCAAACAGTGACCTGTACACAAATTGCAAAGTGTTTTTGCTAGAATTAAAGTTCCTTAGCTTATACAGAAGGTGGAGACGCTGTCTGGCTTTTTTGTAAATACAGTCTTTTAGGTCTGGAAGGATTCACAAAGTTATTTTTAAATGAAGTGGAATTGAACTTTATGGAAGTTCTATTTGTAAATCCAGGATAATGACTAAAATAATTTAAATAGAAATGTTTTTACCCCCTACAGAGTCGTAGGTTTCCATGTTTGTCAGTATCTGGTGTTGTTGTGTCTGACTCGGGTCAGATGTTTTGGATTTCTACATCAGTTTGTTCTCCTTACAGAACTGGTGGACCAGAGATCAGGACTTTTGTACGGATGCTCCAAAGCATGGACTTTGTTTTCTTGAATGTGTCCGTCTGCTGAGGGACATTAAGGCACCTTTGTGTCCAGCTTTAACTTCCTGGTTTTCATCTGTTGCTTCAGTGTTTCCACATCCTGTTCTGTCCTCAGGATGCCGTCTTCTCTGTGAAGTCCACCAGTCCCTCCTGCAGTAAAACACCCCCACATCATGATGCTGCCACCCCCATACTTCACAGCTGGGATCTTGGCTTCCTCTTTCATCCTACAAATGTAACGATGGACATGAAGGACAAGACGTTCAGTTTTAGTTTCATCTGTTGTCAGAGGCAGACTTCTGGCCTGATATGGTCCTCCAGGCTCAGAAGAAGTAACTTTGATATTTGTTATTTTTGTTGTTGCTCTTTGTAGAGCAGAGGGGACCTGGAGAGGCCGTCCATCCCTCCGTCTGCTTTGTGAGCTTGATAATTTAAAAACAAGTGAGGTGCCGACTTTAGTTTTGGTGTTTGGCTGCATCTAGGTGTAAGAAAGGTTCACTTTGAAAATTGGGTTGCCAGGTCAAAATCCAAGATGGCCACCACTAGTTGTACTAAAGATGATAAAGATTTCTTCAATCTTTTAATTTTTCTTCGTGCTAATAATGTCATTTAATAGTAATTGATCAGTCACTGAGGTGTTCATACACCTGATGTTGCATCATGGGAAATTCAAACATGTCTGATTGATCATTTGAGAGGAGCAAGCAGCCTTTTTTAAATCTCAGACTAATGCAGCTTTGAAAAACAAAGTTCCTGTTGTTCCAGGAGGGGGCTTCCACCACTGCTCCAGTGATAAGGGAGGGGGGTTCTGTGCCTATGCTGACATCACTCTGGCCATCAAGGTAACACTCGTGCAGGAGTGAGTCGTTTTCTGAGGCGTGGAAATGAACTGATTTTATTAGCAGGTCCCAAAGTTGACTTTTTAAAGTTGACATTTATCAGCATGTCGCTTCATTGACTGGTTTAGCTGCGTGTGACGCTTCAGACACAACAAAACCTGCTGAACTGACCAAACCTTTTAAAATGGGTATAAATCAGCAGATTCAAGACAAATGAGGAAAACGTTCATGTCGAGAGTTTTAAACTCTCTTTCTTTGTCCCTCAGTTTCTCTTTGAGAGAGTGGAAGGCATCTCCAGAGCCACCATCATCGACCTGGATGCTCATCAGGTGAGCATCACGTCTTCATCTTTATCATCACCACTGAGGAGCTGATGCTGAAGACTACATATCCCCCCCCCTTTACAACCACATCAATCAATCAGCCAAAGCATGAGGGATATCTCCATATTTACAGGATCTTGGTATTCATTTTATTTTGTTGCCTTACAGCCTGAAATGTAGGTTTTTTTATTTGATTAAAAGCAACAAATAAATAAAAAATAATCCTGATTAATGAAGTTAAACAGATTAAAGCTTGTTTAACAAATATATCAAGTTAAAAAGTATTGTGTTGCGTACAGTTTGTACTCACCCCTTTTGCTTTGAAGCACCAACTGTACCCTGCCTGGAGACGCAAATTTAAAATAATCACATTCGATAAATTTATTTTCATAAATTAAAACGTTTCTTGGTTAACTGCAGAGTTGTGTACAAAATTGGCAAAAACTAAAGAGTAACTTTATAGACAAAATACAGTTTTCGTCAGATAAATATTACGTACAATTTTTAAAGTAACATTTCATGAGTGCTGAACTCTTGGGCCTTCTCTGGAGGCCTTGAAGGCCCCGAGGGTTCCATAACTGTGAGTCAAATTTTATAAGTGTTTTTTAAACAAGACATGCTTGTGAATGGTCACTTAATAGTAAATAATTAATATTAACTGTGGAAGAATAATTTATTTTATGGATAGTTTTGAATCTCAGTTTATTTACACCATTGGTGTATGAATGTGATAAAGCACTGATTAGTCTCTTTAGAATGATTTGTTCAATTAGCTTTCTAGAGATCTAGTATAGAGCTGTATGAATGGGTAAATGAGGCACAGATTGTAGTGTAAAGTGCTTTGAGTGTCTTGATAAGATAGAAAGGCGCTATATAAGTATACAGTCCATTTACCATTTAATCAAGCAAGCACCGAATTGCATCACATAATTGAAGGCTCAATTGTTTTATGGCTAAAGTCAAGTCAGTTGTTTTATAAAGCACATTTAAGATCAACATGTTGTAAACAACGTTTTGAACAACAGTAATACGAAGGCTGAACTGATTCAGTGACGTCTCGTCAGTTTTTGCTGCTCGTCTCTCGGTACTGAATCAAACTGTTGGCAGTGTTGAGGTGCATCATCAGCCTGAGATGTCCAACCCTACTGGGGGAGTCCAGATAACAAATCAGATGTCTGTCCACCTTTAAACAGTCCAAACGCCGGTTAAATAACCTGCTTCCTGGTTTTCTTACATTCCCTGTTCCATTCCATCTCCAAAACTAAAAACATTTATCATTCAAATCTCTCAGAGACGTTAACGTCCTGCTTGTTTTTCTTCTTCTTTATATCGGGTGTGTACATTTTATTTGGGATGTGCTGCTGTTTTACAGGGAAATGGACACGAGCGAGACTTTGTGGACGACCGCCGGGTGTTCATCATGGACATGTACAACCGCAACATCTACCCTGGAGACAGATACGCCAAAAGTGAGTGGGGGTTCGAGGAGTTCTCTTTCACACAAAACAAAATCCTCTACAGAGAATGCAGAAACACTGAGAATAAACAGAACCAAAGAAAATGCATTTTCTGCTAAACTGCAGTGAGGATGCCGAGAGCTGAAAGAACTTGTTGAAACTGTTTATTAAAAGTACAAATATCAGAACAGAGGCTGAAATGACAGAAAACTAAACGCAGCAGAATCACAGACTCCCTGGTTGTGGGGAGTTGAAGGCAGCCGGAGCTGGTTTACAGAAGCAGCCATGTTTCTGGAACCAGAGTCTGAAAACAGCAATGTGGATTTAAGCCCCGCCTACTCCCCCGCACACATCATGGTGTCACAAGAGCTTTCTTTAAGCATGAAAGAACTACCAGTAATCATAACAAATGTGTTAGCAAGATGAACATTTAAAGATCTGTCAGCGAGGTAAAGACTACAAGAGTCAACAGCTGAAACAAAAGTGAGTTTTTAAAATTAATTTAATGTCTAAATTAGCTAAATCTTTGTGGAGCACAAGCTTGAACAAAACAAGATACAAAATTAAGCAAAACAGATGCAAAAACTAAAATTGGCTAAACAGTTTCTAAAAACAGCAGAAGAGTGCTTTCAGAACAGATACTTAAATTCTTAAACAGCTAAAATGGGCAAACAGTGGCTAAAAGCAGCAGAATTGTATTTAAAACCGGCAAACCGCATAATATATAAGAAAACAGTAGGTAGAGGAAACAGAATTGTAGTTAAAATGATCAAAAGAAGACAAAAAGCTAGCTCGTCTGTTTTCCACCAATGAGTGTCGATAACATCCGGGATATCTGATGTTTCCAAACAATAAATTATTTATTTGATCAATTCAGGAGAATGAAGACATTTTAAACTCTAGTCCTCCTAAAGAATGTTAAATGAATATTTAGGTTTGTTTAGGAGCAACTGTAGTCAGATTTAGTTTATTTTTCCTCAAAGACAAAATTATTTTCTCCTGAAGAGCTCCCTTTATAGAAAACAAACAAAAAACTTTTCAGCCTTTCCATTTGTACCTTGTTACAAACCATTGGTTGTAACCACTGGTCAGTCTTTCAGATGGGGGACGAGACGTTTTGGCCAGGAGGAGTCCGTCCAGGTGACCTGACTCGGCTTTTGCTGATTTATTTACCTGGATGGTTGAACATGCATCAGGACATTTGGAACCACTTCGACCAGGTTTGCCTCAGGCTGGTTCTGTGAATAGCAAGCGGCCATCAGGGCACTACCGATCGATTGTTAGACTGATGGTCCTCCTTTTACATGTGAACAGCTAGTTCTGGATGTCCCCAGCAAACTGGTTGATCCACTTTAAGAAGGTGCTATTTATAGGACTGAGTTTGATGCAGCTCCTCAGACTGATGGTCTTTCAGATGAAAGATGAAATGTTTCAATCAAAAAGAATCCGTCCAGATGACCTGACTTGACTGTTTTGGAGCAAGCTACCCGAATATTTTAGTTAAAAAAAAAAATCTAAATTTATTAAATACACTCCTACAGTTTGAGGCTTTGAGTGTTTGACGTTGTGAAGTTTGGTTCCTCCAGACGTTCTTTGTGTTTTGGAGCTTCTCCTGTGTCTGGGTAAGTTCATTTAGAATAATTTTTCTAACTTCAGGAGCCATCAAGAGGAAGGTGGAACTGGACTGGGGCACTGAAGACTCGGAGTACCTCCAGAAGGTGGAGCTCCACGCTGAGGGAGCGCTGAACGAGGTCCGGCCTGACATCATCGTTTATAACGCAGGAACCGACATCTTGGATGGAGATCCGCTCGGAGGACTCTCTATTTCGCCGCAGGTGCTTTGCTTGTCTGAAAACTTGATCTTGATGACGCCACGTTTGTTCTGTTGACCTTTTCACAAAGTTCAGTTTTTATTTTGTGGGACTATCAGAGACTCCCTCCAGAATTTGTGGTTGAGAGGACAGAATCTCCTCCTGCAGTCCTCAACTCCACTGAGGCACCAGCTTGGGTGGGCTGGAGGAGGTGCCAGGCTGTTGTGGCTGTGTATGGTTCTTCCACATGCTACCAAGGCCCCTCTTTGTTAAATTAATAAATTGTTAAATTGCCAGTAATTTCTTCAGACTTTCTACACACAAAACAAAGAGTCAGTGAGAACAAGAAGTTTGGGGTTAGCAGAGAAGGTTTGATGTTTTTCCAGAGTTAGTTAAAACCCACAAACTCCACTCTGCTCATCACACAAACACATTTTCCAAACAAATGCGGCACCATCCTGGTGAAACGCGCTTTCCAACCGTATGAAATTTACTGACAAGAAGTGTTGTCATAACAGAGAAAAATCAAACGTATATTTTCTTAGTTTGGTACTAAATTTATTTAATCCCTCGTTATGTTTGGCTTCGAGAATTTCCACGGTATGTGCAAGAGCATTAAATCCAAAAGCACAGAGAAGGTCACGTTGATCTTTTCTTCTTCCTGCCAGGGCATCGTTCAAAGAGACGAGATCGTGTTTAGAGCTGCAAAGAGGCGAGGCATCCCCATCCTCATGGTGACATCCGGAGGGTACCAGAAGAGAACGGCACAAATCATCGCCGATTCCATCTTCAACTTAAGGCAGCAGGGCCTGATCGGAGCCGACGCGGAGGGGGAGGGACCTTCATCGGTGGAGACTTACGGCTCTGGATGTTCTGCATCAACATCCACCAGGGTGTAAGCAGCAGAGGCCCTGGACTCGGAGGTCACGCTCCATGTCTGACACGTTTAAAAGCACTTTACACGGCCTGCTTCTGATGCCAGTTACACAAACTGTGCACGTGTTGCTCCGTAATCAGAGTGGGCAGAGGTTCAATGCACTCCTGAAGCATTTCAAGATTTATTTTGCTTCTTTTGTTTTTATGTGTGACCAACACGGTGGTGAAGTGGTCAGGTTGTTGTAAAGATTTGTTTGTGTAACACTAAATATATATATAAAATTAAAAACCATTAAAACCAGTTCAGGCTAGGCCAGTAGGCTAGGAGCGGCTGAGTGGTTAGAGCTGTCGTCTGCCAACAAGTCAAAGGTTTGATTCCAGCAGCAGTCACATGTTCAAACTGCTTGCCCCACTTGGTGGCGCTCCTGCTGCCCTTGGGTGAAAATAACCCACTGGTGTTAAGACTGAGACCTTGTGAGTCACCTTGACCCAAGGGCAGCAGGAGGGTGAGAGTCCATTAAGGAATCGAGTTGTTGGCCTTCATACGAGGGTGACGTTTGTCTCAGGAGTTCATGAAGAAAACATGAACTTGTCCTCGTTTAGTCCAAAATAATTTTCTCCAAACTCAACTTTGTGTTCATGACGGCACTCATCAGTCATCAAAGATGAGCAGAACAAGCTCATTACCAATTAACTCAATTATGAGAAGTTTAAACATGAGGGAGCGGCACGGTGGCGCAGTTGGCAGAGCTGCTGCCTCTCAGCGAGGAGGTCGCTGGTTCAAATCCCTTATGGGACATTTCTGGGAGGAGTTTGTATGTTCTCTCCGTGCTGTGTGAATGTTTGTAGTTTTGGCGTGTTTGTCTGGGCTGGAACAGGAAGTGAACCTAAATGTTTTTGGTGCAACTTCATGGGGGGAGGACTAAATGTTCTTTTTGTCCAGTTAAATATTTAAAATTAAACCAAAATCGAGCGATTTTCACAGATTTTATTAGCGTCTGGATGAGAAACAAAGTACTGGCAATAATTATTAGTGCTTCTGGTTCACAAATCTAGCATCATTGCACAAACGTACATATTTACACACCTGTAAAAAAAAAACATCCAGCATTTACAGTTCAGATTCTTCTGTTAGTTGAGAAGTGTCATATTCGTGGTTAGTGCAAACATCTCAGTTCAAACAGTTGGTCCATCGTTGAACGTTTTATTTCTTGGCATTTATCGAACATGGTTTATGATAAAAGAACTAGTCTCTGGTTTTTATTAAACGCTTTCATTTTTCTGTTCACCTGAAGAGACTCTTAAAAATGTTTTTAAAGTGACTCAATGAGCTGATTGATCATCGATCGATCTTTAATGAAATAATTTGCTGAAATGGCCAAAAAGCGGACCTCCTACCACGTACTGATGGTTTACTCCTTTACTGCGCTTCAAACCAAAACATCACTTCACGTGTTTGAGTTTCCTTCAAATCTTTTCAGTTCATGATATTTTGCTAACGGTACAAATGAAATGCAAAAACATTATCGCCCTTCAGCTTTGGGCAGTGAGAGATGAGAGACGGTGATCTGCAGGCGAGTGATCCCACCGCTCGGGAAGGGAAGACGCTCCTCGCAGGATTTTGGTCCAAGTGAAAACTTCTCTCGCCTCCAGACAGATCTGACTCAGTTCGACGTGCACGGAGCTCATCCTCGCCGTGGGAGCGTGCACGTCCTTTCATTTAAACCTCCTGCAGATGTCGAGAAGCTACCAGTGATCACAAAATACAGAGGAGCATGAAGAAACTCGCTACCTGCTAATAAGAAATAAAATAAAAAGCTCTGTTCGGACTTGGTTCCCTTCTTTGGCGTTCAAAGATTTGATAATAAAATTAACACACAGCTGCTCGTTTGGATAAAAGAGCTTCTCTACTTGTGCCGTTTATACAGGAAGGCTAGAACAGCTACAGCTCCGACGAATAATGCTAGAGTTCCCAGATAAGACGTGAAGGCGGGGTGCTCGGGCTGAGGTCCGGGTCTGTCACGAGCCTGAAAAACATGAAAATTAACCACAATATGGACTTAAACAGAGCAGAACAAAAGTTACATCCAAGATAAACGGGTTCCTTTATGTCGACACCGACGCAAATGTTGCAAAAAAAAAAAAGAACAAATGTGTAAAAATGTGGGAAACAGTTTTACAAAGGCTGAAACTTGTAAATAGAGAAAATTAAACTGAAAATAAACTTATAAGATGTGTTTTTGTCCTTTCCCCCTGACAGATAAGCTGCTGAACTACAAGCTAACGCTAATAAGCTTCAGAAAAATGAGTTGTTGCCGCCTCTCCGCCCGTGCACCGCGTCCAGCTGGAGGTCTTTAAGGAGGCGAGTAAAACCGTTTATTTTTAAAAAGTTAATGGATTACAGAACCCAGATGTCCGACCCCCCAGCTCAGAGCGTCCTGAGATGAATGTTTGCACCCCCTGGTCTTATTTACTTCTTGTTGACAATAAGAACAATCTGAGGAACACGATGAGTTCACTGTAGATGGCAATATTTTTAATAACTTTAATGGACTTATGGTCTGTAAGCTGTGACGGTTACATTTAAAAACATTAAAATAAATAAAAAGTGACCGAACAAACATTCAGCCCCTTCAGTCCAAGAGGATAACATACAAGCTTCAGAGACTCGGCATACAGCAACTGTTGCCAGTATTCCTCGTGAGTCTTGGGTCTTTGGCTCAGTCCAGTCTCTCTGCCTCGAGTCAGATCTGTGCCGTCATGAAGTCCAGCTGTTTCCAACTCAGAGTGATTGTTAAACGAAACGATAGCTCAAGACCAGGAGAAAGTTCTTCCTGCTTTTATCACTTCCTGTCTGAAATGATGTAATTTCCTGTAGATAAATCATCTGAGTTGCGTACAAACTGTCCAGAATGCAGCCGTCAGACAGGAACAAAGAAACGAGCACACACGACCCCTCTTTGGGAAAATCTTTAGTCTTTCTGTCCATTTTTGAGTTTATTTGAATATTACTGTAACTTCGGTCTATAGAGTGCACCCGAATATAAGCCGCGCACACAAAATAAAATAAAAAACACAATTTTGTACATAAATAAGCAGCACTTGTATATAAGCCGCAGGTGTTCACGGTGTAACATGATAGTTAGCGTATTTTTCGGCCTGTAAGTCGCAGTTTTTTGCATATTTGCATGCCCTGCGACTTCTAGGCCGATGCAACACATTATGGATTTTTTTCCCCCATATTTATAAACAATTTTTTGGCTGAGATACGACCGTTTTCATTCATTCTGATAAAAAAAAAAAAAAGAAAAAAAAAATTAAGCGCAGTACCACTTTCAGCCTCTAGATGGCAGCAGAGTAATAATAGTTGTAAGGCATGCTGTTGTATCATGTAATAGTGGCTACAATGATAAATTCCAAAAAGTTCAACACTAAAACAACTGGACTTGCAAGCAAACGTTACAGAGACACAACTTTGCTATAATTACGAGCAAACAAATAATTGTTTAGGTGCTTTTCTTGTTAAATTCTGTACAGCGACTCGCCGCGTGCATGCGTTTACTTCTGCGTATAAAGTTTTAAAATACAGCTGATATGACCATCAAAGTTCATTTATTAAGCAAACGTTAGATTGAGAAACACGTTTACTATAATTGAGCAAACAAATAATTGTTCTTAAGTGTTACTCTTGTTAAATTCTTGTTAAAGCCCTCCTGTGCACGCTCCCACGATCGCCATTTGGCAGCCCATCGGTTTTTGGAACAACACCGGCCCAAATTTTCGGATTGTCAGCGGTGACGCATAATAGATGTCATATAGAGTGAAGAGACATATTTATGGATTTTTCCACTTCATTAGACAAATATGGACTGATGCAACTTATAGGGCGGAGCGACGTGTACGGCGGAAAATACGGTACACAGAAAGATATTTTAAACTTTTAACTCAATGCGTACCAGAAACATCCACAATGCGTACAGTACGGTAAATGTTTTTGTTCTGAACAATGTCTTCAACGTGGCTGGTTAAAAATAAAAAAATTAATCCATAAATTAGCTGCAGAGTTTGAAACGTGTGAAAAAAGTGTCGGCTTATAGACTGAAAGTTACGGTAACCTTGAACGTTTCAGACAGACTTGATCCACCATATTTACTGGATCTTCTTAACTCTGATCAACCAGTTTCTCCTAAAGGTCCCAACATCCAGATTAAACTGTAAAACTTATGTGTTTTTGTCCTTTCATTCTTGTTTTATACTTTATGGTGTTTCATTGTTTGTAAAGCACTTTGGTGAATAAAAACTAAACTGACAGCTACCTTTTTCTGAACACGGAGCTCCACATCCACCCCCGCCGTCCTGAACACATCCACCGCAGCTTTGTGTGTCAGACTCTCCAGTGGGACTCCGTTTATCTACAGCGCCCACACAGCAAACAGACAAAAAACAACTTTCATCAACTGCGTCCAGGTGAGCAGGTTAATCGTTAGATTCAGTTTAAAGTAAAGCAAAACGCCCAAACTCAAGTCACAATCTGCTTCTTTAACCCGACCAGCCTTCAAAACAAGCTAGAAGCTTTTCATACAAAGAAAAACATCTGCAACAGAGTCGTTTGAGGGATTGTCTGCTTAAAAAACGACTTGTGCACAAGTTCTGCACCAACAACGTTTCTGGTATTTCCAAAGATCAAACATGTAGCAGGATGTCAGGGAGGTGCTCCACCAAGTTTAAAGGTCAAATTAGTTTTAATACTATTTTCTATAAAGTGCCAGGTCCAAACAGAAGTCATTGAAGGATGCCTTTGCTCTAGAACCGAACCTTACCCTTTACATAAACAAAGCCTGACACCTCCCTACACATCATTCAGTTAAAGGCGGATGGATTCTCTGAGCAGAGACGTGCTCACTAACACAGATTTATACACATTTGTTAACGATGTCTCAGAGAAATGGGCCCATTAGAAGACTTAGATATTTCATGTTCAGTATTCTCAATCAGTGATCATTTTAATTCATTCCCATAATGCTCAGTCAGGTCGTCTGGACAGTTTCTTTTTTCTAGAGACGTTTCACCCTCTATCCGGAGGGCTTCATCAGTCTGAGGAGCTCCAAGTAAACCGTTTCCCCACAAAGCAGTAAATTCCTTAAGTGGACCAACCAGTTTGCTGGAGATAATTAATTAATTTATTGTTACCGAAAGAATCTTGTCTCCTTCTTCAAGCCTTCCATCTACAGCCGCCGCTCCATCTTCTTTTATTTTAGACACAAAGATGCCGTCATCGTCCCTCACATGCTGTTGGTCCACGCCACCAACTATGTTAAATCCCAAACCTGAAAGTGAGAACAAAGTAAATCAAGCAGGTCCTGAACATTTCAGAGAGCAAGATTCAGCGGGTCCAGTTGTTGACATGGCAGACGGTGATCTAAGTACACCAGAGGGCTATGCCACTCAATCAATTCAACTTCATTGTCCATAACGTTCAATGAAATGGAGATTTGTCTTTGACATTTGGCTCATAAAAACAACACAAGTTAAAAATGTCATTTAAAAAAAAAACTTTAAAAACTTTTCCTCACGTGTCGAATCAAGGAAACACAATCTAACAAAGTGTTAAATTACAAATTATAAAGCAGATTATATCATTATCACCTGCCACCAAAAGACTAAGGCGGACTAGTCTTTCTGAGTGTGTGTATGTAAAATAAAAACAATCTTATAGACTAAATGAAGTTAAATGAAACTTTAAGGACAATTATTACATTTAAATCAGCACTAATCCAGATCCTGAACATCACATTTTGCCACGCTGGACTCAACGCAGCACCTTCAGTCGTAGACTGAGACCACCGGGGTGCTCCACAGAGTTTCAACCCCTACCCCTTTTCTACACAGGACAATAAAATTAATCCTGCACCACAATAAACACTTTAATCTTTCTGGCTGCACTGGACCTGTTTTAGACTTTAATTGTTGGTATTTTTATATTCTGTTATTTTTATATATATATCTTGTGTGATTCCTTGTGTATATTCATTCGTACTGAAACTCTGGCACAACAATTTCCTGCGGGATCAATTTATCTTAACTGATGAACTTGTAGTCCACCGAATTCAAGATGGCCACCACAGCTACTCAACATTAACAAACACATAACTGGCCACAACTCCTTAAACTTCACAGATATTGAGCAAACACTCGGTGTGGTGGTGACTGGATCGTCCAAAACGCACGCTGTGAGCGTGACATCTCGTGATATTGCGCAGATCGTTTGACCAAACTCCGCCCCTTCCACCTGTGTTGCCATATGGTTATCGTTCTTGTGCGATCATTTTAGTCGAAACGGTAATAGATTTTGAAACGCACATTGTACGATAGTTTTGGTATTTAATAAAACTCGAATTAATTTGCGCAAACACCCACGTCTCATCAAAGTACAACGTACACGCCCTCACTTCGCTTGTATGACAATAGTTTAGCTCCAAAATATGAGTTTTTAAAGCGTCAAAACGCTAGTTCGTCATTTCCTATCTGGCAACCGGTCCATCCACAGACTGCAGACCGTTCTCATCACTAAATAATTTAAATAAACTCTGGCGTAAATGCGGCGGGCGATACGCATGCGTTCAAGGTAAGCTAGGCCTTTGGTTCTCTTAATCGTGTTGATTCGGCAGAGAAACCTTCCTTAAAACTTACAACGTTTCTTCTGAGATGTCTGGGCAGCGCATAAATCAGGTTTTTAACTAACAAAGCGCCAGCAGCTTCTCCCAGACAGTCACTACTTCAGCCCAGCATGTGAGCTTATTAAATCTCGTCTTTGGTTCCGAATTAGCCTTGTAGCTTTAGGCTCGGCAGCTTCACAGCTGGACTGGAGCTACGTAACAAGCTAGCATTTGCTGCTATCGCTCTTTGCTAGTTTTCCGTCCAGTTTGTCCGCTTTACCTGCCGGGCCTCGCTTCAGCTTTATGTCCACAAAGTTCTGGAGAGAGTGCAAAGAGCCGTTCATTGTGTCCACACCGAGCTCCTGAAAGAAACCAGCGCAGGGGAAAAAAAGAAACAAACTATTTATCTGAAGGTGAACTCATTGAAGAGTTTCGATTTTGCTTCTTCCTGCGGCGCAGACGGATGTTGCGCCTCTGCTGCCCCCTGACGGACGGTCGAGGAACTGCAGGTTTTAACCGCTGATTGCTCATTATTGTGATCCTGCTTTTAATTATTATTCCGTATATTCTTCCAGTTACCTTCAACTATTTCGTACGGTTTTTTAGCATCTTTCTCGTCCCGCAGTTTTCAATCTATTTCATAAATCAAAACGTTCTTTCAGGACAATCCTATGACTTTTGTTGTAACTTTAGCTTTTTGAAATATTTAGCCTTTTCTGACATTTTTTCCTCATAGAAAATGAATTGAGATCATTTTACATCCTTCACATCTTTAGATCTGTTACAACCTTTTACTGCTCCTTTCACATTTTGTTCTGCTTCAGCTTCTTTCAGCTTCCTGCTGCAAATTTAAACTTTTTTCAGCTACTTTCAGATGTTTTTTCAGCTCTTTAGTGCTCCTTTAAGATTATTTCTGCTAACTACAACATTTTTTGTGCTTCTTCTTTTTTCTGCTAATATTAGCTTTTTCTGCACTTTCAGCTACTATTTAGTTCTTTTGATGTTAATTTCTGCTTTTTCAGCTAATTCCACATTTTTTAGCTCAGCAACTCTACTTCCTTGGTAGTTTATGCTTCTTTCTGCCTTTTCAGCTACGTTTCAACTATTTATTTTTTTGCTAATTTCATCTTTTTTTTTTTTCCAACTTTCCTATTTTTTGTGCTAATTTCTTCTTATTTAAACCTAATTCAGCAAATATGTTCCTTCTGCTTTCTTCTGCTAACTTAGGCTTGTTCTTCCATTTCAGCTATATTTCAGAATGTTTTTAGCTAATGTCAGCAAGTTATTCAGCAATAAGCATTCAGGCTGCATTTTAGAAGGAAATGCATTTTCTCTGGTTTCCTTTAAAATTGTCTCATGGTATGGGAACCTCCTAGCCAGAGACGGGAACAAGTGGTCCCAAATAATTGGTCATCAACAAATGCAACCTACAGACCTGCACAGTCAGGGTCTAGAAAAGTCAATCCAGGTTGACAATGACCCAACTCATCCACTGCAACCATTATTCAGGCTGGTACCATCTGGCAGAAGACTGCTGGTTCCTCTGGTAAAGAAACATGGGTACAAAAAGTCATTAGGTCCCTCTGCTGCGAGTGTCCTGAACAGGGTTCTGTTTAAACACAGCCTCACATGAACCGTTGTCTGCTGAGATGTTTTAATGTATTTTAGAACTGGTTTTAATGGGTTAGCAAAGGTTTTTAAAGTTTTATGGCATTTTTAACTTGTGCTGTTTTATATGTATGAGCCAGATGTCAAAGATAAATCTCCATCTGATGGAATGTTATTGAAAATAATGATATATTGATTGATAGAAGGCTCCTCAGTCCTGGTCCTCCAGGACCACCATCCTGCACGTTTCAGCACACCTGCCGTGAATGAATGAGTGACTAACGGTCCGCTGCAGAGCTTGAAGACCCGCTGAAGAGCAGGGAAACCAGTAAAACATGCAGGACGGTGGCCCTGGAGGGCCAGGATTGAGGGCCGCTGAGAGAAATGTCTGAACCATCTGAGCGTTTCAGTGTCGCCTTAATCCAAGTAGTTAGATTTTACAGATTTGCTTTTTTTGTTAAGTTATGATCAAACACACAAACACACAAAGTGACTGCATACTGGTGGAATCGAACCTCTGACTCTCTAAATTAAAGGACGACTGCTCTGACCACTGAGCCACAGCTGTCCCTAAAAAGCAGATTATTATTTTCTGAGGTAATAAATTGGACTAAATGTTTTAAAGTCATTGCTCAACATAACAACTGTTGTCATGGAAACATAAAAATCACAACACCTGAGTTTAGGAAGACTTTTTCTGTTTTACTTCCACATTTTTAGACTTGTTTCTATTTTTATTTGACTCCCTTCCTAAATAACGCAACTCCCACAGCCGCTTCCGGTGTTTATGAGAAGGTTTAGGTTTGTTTGTTTGTTTGTTTGTTTATAAAACACTGTAAGGGAGTAGTATTATTGTTTGAAGCGTGGGAGAATGCAGGTTTTTCAGTTCTGCTCTTCGCTGCAGTTTCCGTGGAGACAAAACAAACATTTCAGACATTTTTGCCAGAAAGTGCTCCTCAGACCTGGTGGAGATGAACCCAGACCTGACCCCGATGGACCGCCTGCCCCGCTACAGGCTGGCCTCGCTGCTGTGGGACAACGAGCGAGAGAAGAAGCTGCTGGCTGCACAGGTGGAGCAACTGAAGGTTCAGCTTCAGGACGCCCAGCAGGGAAAACAAGGCGAGCGAGCTCCAC